AAAAAAAAAGCACCTAAAGGACCCTCAGACTGTGAGAAACAAGATTCTCTGGTCTGATGAACCTCAATTCCAAGCATCATGTTTGAAGGAAAGCAGCTCTGCTCATCACCTGCAGAGTACCATCCCAAAAGTAAAGTGTGCTGGTAGCAGCCTCAAGCTGTGGAGCTGTTTTTCAGCGGCAGGGACTGAGGGACTCAGAGTAGAAGAAAGCTCAGTGCAGCAAAATATAGAGATAGCCTTAATGAAAACCCAGTCCAGAGCATTCAGAACCTCAGACTGAGCAGAAGGTTCACCTTCCAACAGAACAATGACCCTAAGCACACAGCAAGAGTGGCTTATAGACAGCTCTGTGAATGTCCTTGAGTGGCCCAGCCAGAGCCTGAGCTTGAACCCAATCAAATATTTCTGGAGAAACTTGAAAATGTGCATTTGCTCCCATCCAACCTGACAGAGCTTGAGAGGTGAAGAATGGCAGATAATTGCCAAATGCTGATGAGCAAAGCTTGTCGCATCAAACAAAAAAGACTTGACTGTAAAGGTGCTTCAGCTAAATATTTAGTTAAGAGTATGAATACTTATCAGAGTTGGGTATAACACGTTACACAGAAACTCGTTACTGTAATCTAATTACTTTTCCTGGTAACGCAGTAAAGTAATGCATTGCATTTTAAATTTATGTAATTTGATTACAGTTACTTATGTCAATAAAATTACGCTACTTAAGTTACAAATGCAGTGTTCAAAATTATGAACTAAAAAAATCATGTTTTGCGGGTCAGTATGGCCTTTAATAAATCACCGGACAATGTGAGCTCAAATGCAGACGAGTCCTACAACATTTAGATGCAATGAAAGGTCGTATTTCAGCTCGTATGAATCATATTTCAAAATGTTGCACTCAACATATTTTGGTCTGGCATTATACTCTGGGAAATGTTCAACAAGTGAATGTGTACAAGTTTATGTCACAGTAACACTAATAAGTAAAAATAAATGACTCATCAGAATGAGATCATCCGCTTTCATCATCACAATTCAAGGCTTATTCCTCACAACACGTCTTCTTCCAACAATGAAAAGTAGCCGAGATGAACTTGAATCTTTCTTTCTATACGAGGGTGATGTGGATATTTACATGTTTGCACGTCTCGAGCCTGGTTTCGCGTGGATGATTATCTTGAAGCGTGCGATGTGCGTGGACACATTATGTGAGCTCAGACGGAAATACTGTACCTCGCATTGGTTTCACACAGATTATTTTATCAGAGAATATTTGTTATCGACATGATTTTTCGACAATAATAGACACTTCAAGCTTTCTTTAGATATAGCCTACTGTATTTCGAATGTCATTTTAGTTTATTTTATTGACTTGTTTGTTTTAAGAAGATATTCACAGAGAATGCAGAAAGTGCACCCAATTGGTTTTCTTTATTTTACAAAAAAAAAAAAGGTTTTGTTGATATTGGGAGCGTAGACTTTAAAAATAATACTTATGGATTTTTTCAGTCAATATTAAATTAGAAAGAACTATGAGTTTCTCTTTGTAGTGCATTTTTTAGGTTTGATAACTTGAAAAGTAAAGTAAACTTGAAAGTAACTTGAAAGTAAAGTAATTAGTAATCTGATTACTTTTTAAATGCAGTAATCAGTCATGTAATCAAATTACAATTTTAAAGAAGTAATTAGTAATTTGTAGTGGATTACTTTTTTAAGTAACTTACCCAACACTGATACTAATGCAATGTACTTATTTCAGTTTTTTTTTATTTTTTTTATAAATTTACGAAGTTGTGACAATTGTGTTTTTGCTTTGTCAGTATGGTGTACGGAGTGTAGATTGATGTGTGGGAAAAAAGTAATTTAAAGGAGTTTAACATAAGGCAGCAACATAAAAAAACATGAAAAAAATGAAGGGGTATGAATACTTTCCCAAGGCACTGTACATAAATATAAATGCATAAACATACATGTATGTATTTAAGGAACACACACATACATAAATATCAATATTTCTTAAATATATGCACGTATGTGTGAATTTATATATACATATAAATATACACAAGAAAAGCGCAAATATTCTGTAAAAAAAAAATAAAAAAATTAAAAAAAACTTATTTTGGACAGGAGTATTTTATTTTTTATTTTTTTGGAAAACAAGACAAAAATACTGAGTT